CTTTGATTTACAGGATCAAGGAAACTTTGATTTGCGAGATCAAGGAATCTTTAATTTGCGGGATCAAGGAATCTTTGATTTGCAGGATCAAGGAATCTTTGATTTGCGGGATCAAGGAATCTTTGATTTGCAGGATCAAGGAATCGTTGATTTACGGGATCAAGGAAATCATAAATGTAGCAGATTAGACGCAAGAACATAAGATAATCTATAATATGTCCTATTGCTTGAACTATCGAAAAACACGTCAATCAAGCGGAATCACGCCATTCAATCTGTATCTATATCACATTCTCGCAGCTTTAGCATCCTTCATATTCTTCATTGCCTCTTCCCGCATCGCGCATCTTGCGGCGAGTTCGTCCTTCAGTGAGCGATCCTCCTTCGGGAGCACTGCGTTGAGCTCAGCATTAAGACTTTCCAAGGAATCCTCTCTTCTGCTTCCATACTCGACCACACCACTACCTAGCATTCGTAGCGTTGGCTGTTCAAATTCTTCGTATTCACCTTGCTCGAGGTAGTCGTGATCGGGCAATCGCACATGTCCTGTTTCTTCATCATATCTGGAGTCACTGTACCTCTTGCGTGCCTGGCGTTTTTCAAGTGGCACATCGTTACTTTCCCAATCCTCGCGATACCATCCATCTTCACGCTTTTTATCATCATGAAGGGTAGTTATATTGCGCCTCTCCCCAGTCCATGGCTTCTTGATGTGCTTTGTGAGAGCCTCCATGGTTTTGTACTGTCTATCGCAGCCATAGGGACATCTCCACATCTCTCCATCAACATGGATGTGATACATTTTGCGGCTCCAGGTAGAATAGCCATTGTGAAAGGTTCCGTCAACATGGCGCTGAAGCATGGCAGCATTCTTCCAGAGTTTAGCCTGACGAGTGTTGGTCAGTATCAATGTGTATATGTAATTGGGAGAAGTGAAGTACCTTATGCTCAGGCGTTACATATACGTCGGCTTGACAAAGTTGGCAGGCGCGTGGCTCATTTGGTGCCAATCGCTTCTCCAACATGTATTCCATGAAGCTCTGAACCAGCCCAATGATCGGAATTAGCGTATCAGCATCTTCACCCTCGCCGACACTTGCCATCTCAATGGTGTCGGAAGACTCAAGAGCTTTGGCCTTTCCCGGGGATCCCCTAAGCTTAGTTTCTTGGTGTGCATATTCCACATCGTTGACATCATCTTCGAGATCTCGAAAACGGTTAACATCATTGATCTCGTCTTCTTCATCATTCTCCTCCTCATTTTCGAAGCCTTGGGCATCAGTTTGGGTGGCTTCCTTAGCACGCTCGCTGATAAGAAGGAAGATCTTCGAAGGATTCTTTAATTCTCTAGCACGAGCAGTAAAGTCTTCCATCGTTCGGTTCGCTTCTTGTTCCTGTCGAGCCTGCTTAATCACGGCTCTCGATCCCAATCTCCGAAGACGTTGAAGCTCAACTTTCAATCTTCTCCTGCCATCGATGGAAGGGTCTTGGCGAAGCTCTTGAATGGATGGCTGATCCTCGACCCAAGCATCAACTACTGCTTTACGTTGCAGGGCCTGGTTGACTATATCAGCCCGAAGCATCGCAGCAGAGTTGGTGTCGTTGAAGATACCGGTGGTTTGCTTCTCGCCCGACGCGATGGCAAAGACATCAAGGTCAAAAACTTCATTCTCATACCATAGTTGAAAGGTAGACGATCCGGGCTTGTGCGACATGAACTGTCGAGTCTTATCAATAGTTGCGTGGCGGCTGATATTTGTACCTGCTTCTCTCCTCCAAGCATACATGGTAGAGCCTTCAGGATATCCAGTTTGATGGGTGCGTTTTTCCATATAATCTGTGAAAGACTTTGCTGTCGCAGCTATGCCAGCAAGGTCAAGCTGCCTTCCACCTGGTGTAGATCTAATGAAGATAGGGAGGTCTAGCGCCGTTTCTTTGATCTTAATGCTGTGGTGTTTTCCTCGAAGAAGCTCGTCTACAGATGTGTAATGCTCAAGATATCCACGACGAAGTAGAATCACCAAGAGGCGATAGACGGGGGAAAGGTGGATGTTTTGGGGGTCATTTGGAGTGAAGATCGGGAAAACAGCAGACTTGATCTGATTCTTGTCGAGAGTTTTCTTCTGTTTGACATAGGTAAACGTAGTCTTGCAGACAAAACCGCCCTGGAATTTGCCTTCGCAATCGTATGTACGGGTAATTGATATGTCTCTCTAGAACGAGAATTAGCAATAGCAAATATCTAGTGAATCGAGAGCTTCGATTCTATCGAAGAAGCCGGGTTGCCTAGTGATGTCTTACGAATTTCATGAACCTCTCCGGGTTCAGCTCTCCTCTTCCAAGTGATGAAGGGCGAACACCGCAAACCCAAGCCAACGTCCAAGAAAGATGATGTACCTCAGCCACCTCGACAGCCGTAGTAGTACTCATATCAAAGTCAAGAAGATGAACAAGCTCATTCTTTCCGAAGTAAACCTTAGGAAGACGAGACGATTGTAGATTCCACTTCTCTAGCGCATAGTACATGGCCCCGTTCGTTCCATTCATCAAGATATATCTGGGAGGAGGTGTGTTGCAAAGGCGGTTAACCCAGAACAATAGTGAGAAGCGACGGCCAATCAGTGGCTTGATTGTAGGGCGAGTTCCGGAACTTCGAGATCTGAGCGAACCAGCAGCCAGGATCAGATACCTGATGAAGGGTAAGTTAGGCTGGAATATTTGTTAAGATCTTGCATGCTCTACTTACTTTGAGACGAGATCGCATATCCTGTTATCATCACTCGAAGGAAAGAGAAAACGGTCATTGGCTTCCGGCGCAACCTCCTTGCCTAATTGGATCTCTGGATTTGATTGAGCTAGGAGGGGAGTCATCCATTTGCGGTATTCTGCCAGGTGGCGATCTTGTCGTTGCTGAGTCTTCGCGCTGGCCCAGCGGTAACCTTTAGCAGCAGTGTAATCAGCATCGAGGCCCTTCCAAACCGCCATGAGGATCGAGCCATCTTCGTCAACAGTCGTTCCATCTAGCAGCTGGGTCAAGACAGACTCGGCCTTGTTGCTGTGCCTAGCGGTGGTGAGGCCTTGCAAGACATCCATCTTGCGTGGACTTCGAGCAAGACGATAATCTAAGAGTAGATCGAGGGGCCTGGATTCTGAAAGTGTATGTAGATTAGCAGAGGTTTAATTGATCCTGGAGTTGAGGTTAAGGTTAAGATTAACGAGAGATTAAGGTTATGATTAAAGGGAGCTTGAGGTTGAACGGAGCTTGACGTGAGGTTGAGGTTA